CCCTTTTATGCTGTTCCAGCATAGATCAAGAGTTCCAGATTTGCACAGCCACTCCATGGTAGATTATAACCTGTTACACCACCAGTCTCCTTTCTTGTACAATACCAGCAGTCACAGATGAGAAATCATTTCCATCAGGGCCCAAGGGAATTTTTTGCTCAGCTCTTTCTATAAATAGGTGCAGCTCCTAGATCAGAATTCATCTGGCTAGCAATTTTTAATTGTATTAATTACCATGCCTTTGAAAAGACAGCATCAGAACACCAATGTAACATATTGCTTCAGTCATGAGGAGAGAGTACAAAGGCCTGGTTGCTCTCCTGAGCAGGCCCAAGGAGGCTCTTGCAGCAACCTCAGCTTCAGGAGAAGCCATGAGACATCCTAAATTACACTTTCAAAACCTGCTGTCCCCAACAGCTTTTGGAGGATTATGGGAGCACAGCATTGGGTTAAGCTCCTGTTTGTGATCTCTCGTCTCATTTTGTGCCTACAGCCAAATCAAATGAGTATCCAGGCCAAAAGGTTTTAAATTAATCCCTCCAAATAAAAAAAAAAAAAAAAATCCACTAGATCTACTGAAACATTTTATCTTGGCCTGTAAGACAACACATGGTGGTGGTACAAAGTACCAGAGGGTGCTCTGGAGCTCTGCAGGTAAAATATTTTATCAGTCCATCTGCCACATCAGCATATCAAATGAGCTTGTATGAGGTTACTATCAACACCAAGATCTTGTGCTTATTTCTCATGCTTTTAGCTAAGTAATTTAGCAAACACCTTTTTTAGAAGACTGCAGTGTATTTTGTCCACAGTAATACTCTTTAGAAACTTAGGGAGAAAAGATGCAAAGCATTTTGTACTTTACCAGGTAAAAATTCCAAAATTTAATAAAATGGCAAATTATTTCCTACAGCTATTAGGGAACTATTTAACAACAGAAATATGAGACTTAAGAAAAGGGACACATCTGTTCTGCAAAAAAAAGTCTTTGAGGAGAACTACTAGCATAAGAGAAACTGAAAAAAACTCAGTGAACTTGTATGCAAAAACAGCAGAAGGCATATTGCCAACAGATGGTGAAGAAGTCATACACCAAAAAGGAAAACAAAGTTGAAAGCATACTCAATTTTGAGCACTTGAGAAAAAAAACCAAAACCAAAGCTAACTCCTTCCTAATCACAGATTCCCTGGTTAAAAATGGAGCTGCATGTTCTTAACACTTAGGGAAGCAGTTGTAATTTCTGGGTTCTAAAATGGAGGCATTCAAAATTAGCGTCTGTCTATGAAAATGTTGGTCCACTCTTGAAATCACTTCCTTCCTCCTTGCTATGAAAACACACTCTTTTTTTCTGGTGTGTTTTCATTTTTTCTCGTGTTAGTGGTTAAGCTCAATGCACTGGAAAATATCTGATGCTTTAATGGGCCACTTTCTTATTAATTCAGACACCTGTTTAAAAAGATGCTTCCTCTCTGAGGCCTTTCTGCAGCAGCTGGTAGCAGCTACTGCCACAGGAACCAAGAGACAAGTATTTACAGAGCCTCTCAATGAAAGTTATTCCCCATTATTCTGTGTGTCCATACTGTCAATCCAATCCTCAACCTGACTTTTGGAAGTAGGAATTTTACACAGCCAGTTTAACAGCACTCTCTGATCAAAGGAATTTGACATGCTCTACTGCAGTTTTTACTGGGGGTACATTTTGCAGTTGGAACTCAATAGGTAAATAAACATTAAGGCATAACAAGAGTCCCACATGAACACCCCTGGCACAATCATGTCAGAACACAAAAAAGTACTTTAAATGTCAAAATAACACAGAAGTCATCTTCTGCAATAAACAGAAGTCTATCTTCCCCCAGCAAACCTCCTTCCCTTTGTTTGCATACCTTGCAAGAGCTGTTCAGGAAGTTGACACACTGTTGTTGCTGCAAACCAAAGAGCAACAGACACATCAGATTTAACTCTCTTCTAAAATATGCAGCTGAAATTTCAGCAGTCGGCTTCAAAAGTGTTCACCTTCCAGTTTCTCAAGGCTAGCTGCCACAAGTTTTCAAACTTGTTTTATCCCCTTCCTTGCTTTCATTCCTAATGTCTACACATTATACACTAACTCTGGTTAAGACACTGAAAGAAGTAATTACCGGGAACAGGGGCACAACTTTCCCATTTGTAACTCTGACTCTGAGCAGCCACTTGAAAGTTAAAATGGGTGACTTACTTCTAGCACAAAAGTAATACTGGAGCATCAGCAATTGCTCATACTTAAGAGTTTTGTGTAGCTTGTACACATTAACTAATTTAAAATTATAAATCCCTTCAACCACCTAAGTGCACAAAATGCTGCATAATATTGTAGCTAATGCCTATCTTTTTTTTTAAATTCACAATCCATTGCGGTTCAAAACTGTGGAAAGAGCAGCTTTGATTTTGACTATGAGACACTAAAGGCTACCCTAAGGTGAAGCTTTAGGAGCTGCCAGGATCAGTGGAGGAGTTTTCAGGACAGACAGTGATGTCTGACACAGCCAAGCGCCTGTGGGCACATCACCTGATGCTGCACAGGGAAGGTTTGCTATGAATACACTTACTCCATAACAGACACCTGTGGGTTCATTTATTTCACTGTCTGTCGGGTTCTCAGTCAACCATCCACACTTACAGACAAGTTTTTTTTCATTGAGAAAAAAAATTTTGAAAACCTCTGACCACAGAGGAAGAGTCCTTATCTATGCCAGCATCCACACCAGAAGGCCTGCATAGGGCATAAACCTGACTGGTGACTCTTACAAGAGCTAACAGGTTGCTTTCAAAGGGAAGAACAAGACAACAAAAACCTCCATAAGTCCTCTTAAAATCACAGATATAAATGCAATAATTGCACAAACAGTCAAACTTTTTATGCTGATTTGACAAAAATACAATGAACTTCTAAACCTCATGAGGTTCAGGCTTAAATTAGGACAACACAATCTTTAAAAAGCTTGATCTACCACCAGGCACTTTCTGTTTACTGGACTTCAGCAGACCTAGTTCAGAAATCAGAACACAAAAATTCCTCACATCACGGAATTTATTCTGGCATTCAGCTTTTGCACCCAAACAAAACAATCAGGCACACGCTGCCAAGAAACATCAGTGCAGCTTCAGGGCACCAGCAAGGGCTGCTACGTGCAGGGCTTCTCTTCAGCACTCACGGGGCTCCTACCAGGGTGGAATTCTTGAACTCGCTAAAGCATTTGTAGATTACACGCCTGTCCGGTCAAGTACTTCCTGCAATTTTGTTAATTATACATCAGGGTCTGCAATTAGGGAATGACTCCCATCCTAGAAAACATCCAGCTCTCAAGTCACCCCCCAGAATGTGTGTCTACTGCCGTTTCTACAGATGCCTCTGGTATATATGCTATTATCCCAGACAGGAAAATACTTTCAAAACTTGAATAGAATGTGCAGCTCTACCGCTGGATGGTTTTCCTTTTCATTTTTGAGTGCTGCAGACCGCTCGTTTAGGTCAGTACACATTTCTGTGGGTGGGGGTGGATATCTCCGGGGGCAGACAAGTGCAACCCCAAGTTCAGGTTCCCTTTCCGTGTCCATCCCTTCCAGAGGCGGCCAAGCTCAGGTTTTCACACCGTCTCCATCCCCCCTCCACATCGGCGCTATCCTCCGCTGTCAGCAAAGCCACCAAAGCAAATACCGGGCCTTTTCCTTCTTTCCCCCTTGATTCGTCATCAAGATGTAAATTAACAGATTCTCTCAGAGACAGGGAAAAAAAATCCCAAAAAACCCACTGAACAATGGGAAACACTTCCCCGCCGGTGCCCCACAGGACGGAGGGAAACAGGATCCCCTGCGCCGGGGGAGTTACTGAGCGGGGATCAGATGCTGCTAAAAATACGGGAGCGGAGCGAGCGGGCCCGGGCAGAGCCCGGGCAGGG